GCGGTCTTCATGACCTTGTATGACCTTCATGAATCGGTCGAAAACGCCCGTATTTTTACTGATAATTTAGCTTTGAATTAATTAATTTTGAGACCAAAATCTCAGATGCCGTCTAGAATGAGCAAATTGCTGATTGTGTAGGGTCCTGGTGAACTAAAACTGACTTTATTCGATTTTTACTGATAATTTAGCTTTGAATTAATTTTGAGACCAAAATCTTAGATGCTGTCTAGAATGAGCAAATTGCTGATCGTAGAGGGTCACGGTGAACTAAAACTGACTTTATTCGATTTATGAAAAGTGGTCTAGAACCGCTACTTCCTATACTACTTTGGGCATCTCAATAGCACTGTATTGAAAGGTTTTCACTACCACAAATTGCACAGAAAATGACAATGTCGCCGAGCATTAACTGCATGCATGACATTGTGGGCTCAGTGACGAATTCTCCCGCGCTTTTTGTTTTGCTTTATTTCCAATTCGACTTATATTTGTGGGAAAAAAGTCTCAAATTGTAACTTTAAATTTTGTGCAAAAATTCGAACTCCTTAGATGTTGTTTTATGTAAGTAAGGCACTTTTTGTTTATCGACAAGTAATAATTGTCCAAAAATACGTATATAAATCGTGAATTTTCCCTTTTTAAGAAACTGTATTGAACCACCTTAATCTGGAAATTTACCAATAAATCAACAACTTTGCCGACTATATCTTGAAATAATTTAGCAGTTTTCCTCATCAATATTCCGTAGACGTCAGCATGTACATTCTACGCATGTTCAGTTATTATTTCAGCCAGCTCAATCTATGATGAAAGTTAATCAAATGTTGCCTACCATACAAAAGCCAAAATGATAGAGCGTTTTCTTAAAACAGACGATCTGAAAATATCAATAATACTGTAGTTCTTCTTAACATTGGCCTCCTGTTTATTACTGTTATCCACGACTTTGTTAAACTCTTCCCGAGGAAATGGCAGATCGTTGAAATTAGAAATTCTTTCAATTACTCCTTCTGCGGCGTCTAAACGGTTCTTAGTTAGCAGCCAACGGAATGATTCTGGCAAGATGCTACAAAAAATATTTATTTATTTAGTTTTTATTAACTTTACAACCTTCTATACATGAAGAAATAGATATTAAATTTGACAATATATACATAGATGAAGGACAAATAAGATTGAAGGTATAGCCTAATATATAGAACTAACAAGAATCCTATATTAGCCAACACCGATTCAAGAAAGGCAACAATAGTTATAAGATAAAAGGGGGAGGATTGTCAATTGGGACGTTAGTCCTGTTTTCCTCTCCTGTCACTCCGTCTTTGTGTCATCGTTAGTTTAGGTGTTGCATGCAAGTCCTGTATTTATTTGTAATTTGTAATGTGACATATTTCATTAAACTAAACTAAACTAAACTAAACTAAAACATATTCTTAAAGTCACAAACACACATTACACACTGATATATTTGAACAAATATTAACATGAAAAGTGCATGAAATGAACTTTAAGAGCAACAAGTTGGGTTGTAGGAACGACACTTGGAACAATAAGTCTTGCAAGTGCCAATTCGATTGACGTCAAATGTAGATTTAAGTTTGGAAAGTTAGTGACACAATACAGATTGTGTTTGAAAGATGAAGTAGAGGTCCATTAAAAGAGGAAACAGAGGCCCATTCAAGGGGGGGGGTCGGGCATATGTGGGGTATTTGATCATCAATTGCATCCCATTTTGACCCCGAATTTGGCCCCGCATTTTGGCCCCGAGTTGGGGCAATTTGAACCAAATGACTTTTATTAATATAGTATTTATTGCCCGACGGTGGGGCATTTGATTTGAAATTTGCTCAAAAAATTAAATGCCCCACCTATGCCCGACCCCCCCCCCGCCTCTGGGGCTTAACATTGATAGGTGCATAACATATATCTTATATCTATCTATTCGACATACCATATCAGTCCAATTTGAAGCAATCCAGTTACAGTAGTGAATAGTTGAATATATCTCCAGTCTTGTATAAGATAAGATATCAACGCTAAAGACATTACGCCAAATGACCAGAATATACTGGCCGTCACACCGGCCGCAGTACGATACTGGACTGCTAACACTTCCATGAACAGAAGAAATGATGTCATTTGTAAACCCTTAAAAAATACAAAAGATATCAGTTGAGCACAATTAACACTTGCATACAACCAAAGATTAATACAAGCGCTAGCACTTTTCGACTACTGGTGTACGGCAGTAAAAACTAGATCTTCAATATACCCTCAGGGCAAAGTGCTCCCACTGATCATGCTAGTGTCAGCTCTGCAGGTAATAATTAGGATACCAGTTACGATACTGACCTGTAAAAGAAATCCCAGAACAAAACGAAGGATAACAAAGGCGATATAATTTTTGATAAAAAATACGATAATTCCAATCAATGATGGCGCAAACATGGTAAACAACAGGATAGGTCGTCGTCCAAATTTATCTGATAATGTTCCGAATACAAGACCTCCTAACATTACGCCAACGAAATATATTGTTATTGCAAGACTGGTCTTGTAAGCATCACTGCAGACAAGATCCCACTAGAAGGAAAGAAAAATAGAGTACATTTAATTCAAAGGTAGGATAAGACAATCTGAAATGTTTCTCTTGGACCGATTTGTGAATCAATTCAATATTTAGAGATAGATTTGACGGATCATCTGTCTGACGCATCAGAATAAATGAAATAATATACATTTTAAAATGTCTATTATGTCTGCTCCCAAGGGAAATAGTTTGTTTTGTTTCCCGAGAGTCTCAATGTGAGATTCGAGGGAAAACAAAACTAACTGTTTCCCGAGGGAACAGACATAAGCGTTTTGTTATATAGCGACGAACAAAAATCAACATTCAACAACATTCATAACAATTGTATTTCGTGACAAAAACTCTATATTTTTCTTCTTTTCACATTCTTTATTTGAACACAAACTTGGAAAATCGTAGTTTCTAATTATGCTAGTTGTGCCACCATTTTGTTTATTTTATGTACCTGGCGGGCGGGATACATTACATTTATCTGAAGTCACGTGACCACAAATCAGCCAATCACGTTTGGTGTTCACCCTGGCTATATAACAATTAGCATTTATTCGCTATGACTGAGGGAAACACTATGTTCTGTCACGTCTGTGGACTGTTCGAGCGTTACTCTGCTTTGAAAATCAAGTACGTATGTCTAAAACTGCGACATGTTTCACTTAAAAATTAATATTTTGGTCAAGTCAATGACAGTATCACGTAAAAAAAGGAGAAATATATTTCAACCTTGCATGCAATGATAGTATAGCCAGCTGAAACTGTTGAGCATACAACTCGTGCACCAACTCCCAAACCAAGCACGGTCGAAAGGGCATATTGCGTTCAGTGCATGAAAATTATTGGGGTTGTGCGGTTTCTGCAAGTATATATGTTCTAGATCTCGTCCAATAAGATGCAAGAATACATGAACTTTGACACTCGATATATAATGAAAGCATTCAGACAAATGGTTTTTGAAATTCAAAGACACTGTTAAACAACCAAGAATAATTTACCTCAGAGACGATCGTCCTTTCTCTGTCAGAATGATAATAAGTCCATCCATTTGAACAACTAACTTGTTCAGTCTTGTTGTAGTCTGAGTACAATTTACACCCTTTCCATTGTTCTTTTCCATTCTTTTTTTCCAACGGTACAAGATGATCGATGTCTGAAGAATTCTTCACCGTACAGTGATGTTTAGTTTTGGCTGCAAGGAACGCCATTCCAAGGTGATTCCAACCAACATAGACGTAATTCAGACACAGAAGTACTGTCAGGAGTAATTGATATTTGCCTGGACGACCCAGAGCTTTCGCGAGGTCTTCAGTTGTCATTCTTTAATCTAGGAACGAAGAAAAGCCTGGTCAGTTTAAGTTCAAAGCAAGGACCATTCTCATCCCCAGAGCCATTTTCACTCGTTCACTCGTTGAAAATTAGGCTCTTGGTTGGACGAATAAAGGGAGAGATCTGATTGGCTTCTGAGAGAACTGCCCTTTCGCAGAAGTTGAACAATTTTCGCTAGAAAAAATTTTCTATCAAAATATGTCAACACAAATACTTCGTTTCTTCGTAATACTTGTCTGTGAAAATTGTTACAGGTGCTGAAGCGTCCCAATTCAAGAGCTTGCGCTTTTGAAACTACTGCAAGTTCTTTTGCACTTCCGGTTCTGTGTATCCCAGTGCCTATGAAGGTCGCGCGCGTCCGTGAGAAGCGGAGCAAAAATCAGTACGCTACGGTACAAAATCGGTTTTGGCGTGTATGTTTTCATCATAGATATCTTATATACACTAGATAGTGCATCTAATTATTCTGCAATTCAAAAATTGAAGCCGTGATTGCAGACTCAGGATATTCCCATGAGATGAGAAGACTCGTATGTTTTCTATTTCTTAAACAGGGAACTTAAATATTAAGACCTATTCCAAATACATACCTATTCCAAATACATTTTCAAATTATTCAAATGATAGTGAAAGTTTAATTGTTGTTTTTTAAGCGTTTATTAGTGAGTGGGAAACTTCAACATGGCCGCCATCTATTCAAATGGGGGTAACCACTGGAATATTCTTGGCTTCAATTTTACTAAAAGAGATCGCTATCTAGTGTATATAAGATATCTATGGTTTTAATATTGTCGCCTTTGTTTGCTCGCTTTTACAATACTTTACTGGTTGTTGTTTGTTTCGCGTTACAACCATTTACTATTTCTGGCGAAGATAAATAAAGATTGACTTTTGAAGATTGAATAACATTGACTTTTCGCTTTGGAAAGAGCAAAACTTTTAAACTGAATACTCGTCAATTTTGGACTAGAGCGAAACGAAGCAACGTCTGGTGGTCAAGCTTTTTAAACAAAGTTATACTTTACAAAGAAAAACGTTTGTTACTTCTTGTTTTTAATAAACTTTACTATATTGGCAAGAACTGTTTCTCTTGTTCTTGTTCCCATGGCGACAGTGAAAGACATGAGCTGACAACAGAGCGAAGCGGCATAGTGTAAACACCCTTGTTTTTTACTTCAGAGTGAAAATTAACCCGGTATAAAAAATATAGTGTAAATGGGGCCTGAGACTGGAAGAATTAGAATATGCATAACAAAGTATTCAACTGTTCAATCAGCATTCGTAACGGCCATTAAGCCTGGTTTCCATATGTCGTAACGGTCGTAAAGATTTTTCTCATCACGATCTTTCTCATCAGCCGAAATACAACAAAATACGCGAAGTGATTATAGCTAGAAAATACTTATGATTTATATGTGGTTTACAGGTATAACTATTATGAACTGCATGGCCGTTGAGAAAGATCGCGACTCTACATGTATTTAATTTACGACCATTACGACCATATGG